TTACAGGATGTTCCTGGGGATAAATTACTTGGTTTGAGTTTACATTACAGGATGTTCCTGAGGATATATTCCTTGGTTTGAGTTTATATTACAGGATGTTCCTGAGGATATATTCCTTGGGTTGAGTTAATATTACAGGATGTTTCTGGAGATATATTCCTTGGCTTGAGTTTATATTACAGGATGTTCCTAGGAATATATTCCTTGGTTTGAGTTAATATTACAGGATGTTTCTGTGGATATATTCCTTGGTTTGAGTTTATATTGGAGGATGTTTCTGGAGATATATTCCTTGGCTTGAGTTTATATTACAGGATGTTCCTAGGAATATATTCCTTGGTTTGAGTTAATATTACAGGATGTTTCTGTGGATATATTCCTTGGTTTGAGTTTATATTGGAGGATGTTCTTGGGAATATATTCCTTGGTTAGAGTTTTATTACAGGATGTTCCTGGGGATACATTACTTGGTTTGAGTTTACATTACAGGATGTTCCTGAGGATATATTCCTTGGTTCGAGTTAGTATTACAGGATGTTCCTGAGGATATATTCTTTGGTTTGAATTAATATTACAGGATGTTCCTGAGGATATATTCCTTGGTTTGAGTTTATATTACAGGATGTTCCTGAGAATATATTCCTTGGTTTGAGTTAATATTACAGGATGTTCCTGAGGATATATTCCTTGGTTTGATTTTTTATTACAGGATGTTCCTGAGGATATATTCCTTGGTTTGAGTTAATATTACAGGATGTTTCTGGAGATATATTCCTTGGTTTGAGTTTATATTACAGGATGTTCCTAGGAATATATTCCTTGGTTTGAGTTTATATTACAGAATGTTTCTAGGGATTTATTCCTTGGTTTGAGTTTATATTACAGGATGTTCCTAGGAATATATTCCTTGGTTTGAATTTATACTACAGGATGATCAGTAGGGTATTCAAATATACAAATATAAAAATAAACTGGGTGGATGAGGATAAAGAATAAACAGGATTGATGAGGATAAAGAATAAACTGGGTGGATGAGGATAAAGAATAAACTGGGTGGATGAGGATGACGAATAAACAGGATTGATGAGGATGAAGAATAAACAGGATTGATGAGGATAAAGAATAAACTGGGTGGATGAGGATGAAGAATAAACTAGGTGGATGAGGATGAAGAATAAACTAGGTGGATGAGGATGAAGAATAAAGATGAGGATAAAGAATAAACTGGGTGGATGAGGATGAAGAATAAACTAGGTGGATGAGGATGAAGAATAAACTGGGCGGATGAGGATGAAGAATAAACTGGACGGATGAGGATTAAGAATAAACTCGGTGGATGAGGATTAAGAATAAACTGGGTGGATGAGGAAGAAGAATAAACTGGGTGGATGAGGATGAAGAATAAACTGGGTGGATGAGGATGAAGAAGAATCTGGATGAATGAGGATGAATAAGGTGTATGGTGGATATAAGCATAGAATGACAATCAAGCTGAGATCAGACTAACACCTTCTAAGCTCTGGTTAAAAGTTACAGAGAATAAACCATGTGACCTCCCTTCTCCCCTTTAACCCTGTATGTCCCCTTTATATCCCCACTTCAGTCATTGTTTGCTAAAAATGATTAAATATCGTGTAAGCTTTTTCTCCGCCTATCCTGAAGCAACATGTCCTTTATTTATTGCAGACATAATTTTAGACCACGTGGGATATTCTTGTAAGTGGACACAGAACTTGCCAAAATATCAAGGTGCAAGGTGATTCTATAAACATAAGCTATCTTAAGAATAAAATGATGTTAATTAGAACATTATTTCTTTTTTTGTGGATCAATTGAGGTCAATTTTCCACCCTGTTCAGCAATGTTGACCAAACAAATTTTACTTTGCAAAAATTTTTACTGGGGAAATTTAATGCAATTTTTCCCCCAAGGAGGGTTGGAATATGCACATGTTTAACTTTTTGCATCTCCAATAATTTCCATGTCGAATAAAAAGTTGCCATCCAAATAATAAAAATGCAAAATGCAGTCAGAGTTAATTTGCAATCTGGTAAAAATGCAAAGGAAACTAGATAGTAGGTACGTATACGAACAATTTTTATTTCTTACGATAACCAAAAGTTAAATTAATTCAGGGAATCGGAATAAAAGGGAAAGGAAATGGCGCTGGTCTGGCATGAGAAAGCCAGTCGCACCGCTTTGCAGACCAGTACGGTAACCTAACATACACTATTTGGTACAGACACACACACATGACGTTTCCGCCCCCTGAATTTATTATGAAAGAAAAATGGCAAACCTAGTTTTTTTTTCAGAATTACTCTTATACATTACTTGTCTGTATTTTCCTTATTTTACATTGGTAAAATGATAAAAATAAGATTAAAAAGTTGCAAGTTGTGAATCCAATCCTGGCTTTCCTCTTAAATTAAAAAAATCCACGAGCTGATCGATCAGCTGATCGATCAGCTGATCACGATTCTAGCCGCGGGAGATGTAAATTTTGAATGCAAAATTCCTGGAAGTAATTTTAACGAGTATATGAAGAGACGGCTAAAATTCTTTACAAATTCTTTACCATTTATCGTTAGAATTTTATGCGCAAAATTATCCTGCTGGAGGAGTTTTTATTTGAAGAAAAAGTTAAGGATGAAATCAGTGATTTCTTATTCAGAAAATTAGACTTTCCTCCCGACCCCGCAAAAAAAGTTAGTTTTTTGTTGCGAAATCACTTAAATCTTGAATTTGAGGAAGAATTGGCGATGAATTAAAGCATTGAAAGAAAGAGTTTACTGTATCCAATTTATTGTGCAATGTTCCCACCGATATATATAAAATTACTGGGCCTTTAACCGACAATAAATCAATGGCTGCGCTGATTAAACTGTCGCAACTAATAATTTGCCGTTCTCCAAAACATGAACAATTGAAACCATGCAAAGTTCAAGTTCAAAACTGGAATTTCAAAGACCATTATTATTCTGGACTTCAAGAAAAAAAAATTATTTTAACAATTTTTCCAAGATAATTCCTAACCTGTGACAACTGTTTAGTGCATTGTTACAGAGACGTTCGGTGAAAAATCTGTACTTCTTGACAAATATGATTTTAAGATTGTTTCCAAAAAATAATTTGAAATTTTAGTTTGTTTGTAATCCCAGCCGCAGCCGAGAATACAAAAGTTTTGAGCTTATTAGTTCAGTTTATTGGTAAAGACAACCAAAGTGATTTATTACACATTTAGCTTTATAATGTAAATACTCGTTCTTAAGAATAATTTAAAAGTGTTGTCAATAGCTTTGAAAATTTTATTGGCAAAAAACTTTAGAATTTATTTAATTTAAAGAAAATAACAAAAGTATTTTAACATTGTTTTGGTTTTGAAAAAAATATTTGTTCAGTATTTGCTGATTCTATTCCTACTTTGATCTGACATTTTAATTAAAGACTTGACATCAAAGTCTTTCTTGAAACCAAATAAATATATTTTAATCTGCAGATCAATAATATGTATTCTAATCTTATACTTCCACGAATACATAAATAATAACAAAAACCCTAAGAAAAGAATGATAAAAAAATTATTTGATGTTGGTTTGAACTCTATTTTGTTTGTGCAGTTTTGACAAAAAATAAGAAAAAAAGAACATAATAACCAAAATACAAAAGAAAATTCATAATCCCTGAAAGCTGCAAGTAATTTAATAATAAATATAGTAATGTAGAAGACCAACATTGTCGTCTTGGGAATGTCTCCAGAGGCCATTGGAACTTGATAGTATCCCTTGGTTAAATCCAGCCTAAAATTTTGCATCTAGGTTCTAGTGAATAATTTAGTATACACGGCTTGAAAAAGGGTTGCTCCTTTATAAGAAACCAAGTTAACAATTTTAGAACAAGTTCTTCCAGAAAAGTATTTTGGTTCTAAACTTCATTATTTATACTGAGAGTTAAACTTTAAACCTTTAGAATACAACGCACTTAAAAATCAATTTAAAAGATAGTTGATAAAAGATAAGTATTACGATAGGCATTTTAAGAATCTAATTGACTTTTTGTACATATTATACAGCCAACACTGTCCACTGGCGAAGGTTTAATATGCAGGGTTTTTTTGCTCCTAAGCGATAACTTCTCTGGTTATATTTGTAATCCATTAAAAGAAGGTGCGCTTACAAAAACAAGAAGTTCTAAATTGACATTTTTCGTTGGTCATTCAAAATTGATCATTGATTTAAATCTGCAATCGAGTTTTTCAGTCCTTTTTTACATTTTTTAATTCAAGAAAACAAGATTGGTTAGCTGCTAATTAAAAATTTGAACCCACCAAAGGGACCGTTATGTGTAATTTAAAGTGCTCCTCCATGCAAAGATGCAATTTCCTATTCACAACGGTACCATTAAAAGCTTTGCGTTTCATGTAGATATCAATGTTTATAATTTTGTAAACTAATTATTTTCAATTGTTGCTCCTCTACATACTGTAGGAAAATATATAGTATTTATCAGAATTAAATACTTTTAAACCTAGAAAAACAACAGTACCTTAACCGCTATATTGATCTGATAAATGTTTCAATGGTACCGTTGTGAATACCTTGCATGGAGGGTCATTTGAAATTACGCTTACAGTCCCATTAGTGAAATTACATATCACCCTCATAATCGCGAGATTTATTCAAAAAGTGATTTAACTTAAAAACGATGTTCTAAAACGCAGTATAAAACAAAAAGATGATAAGGAGGAACTTGAATTATTTAATGTGTATAAATCTTGTCCGTTCTACCCAATAGTGCAGGCTCAGACAAATCAATTTTATCCAAATGATTTATTACTTTAAATTGATTTATTGACAAGGCAGGGTGAATTGTTTTATTGATCGGATGTCGGGTTATTGTGTTTCCTCTTACTAAATAATGATAATTTGACCCTGCCACTTGACCGTTAATTGATATTAGCGGTCATATTCATTTCATAAAAAGTTTGATTGTTGAAAAACCTAAAGAGAAGAATGAGTTTTGTTTATTACTACAGTTTTCTGCTGCTCTGAAATCCCAGATCTGAAACTGAAAAATATTCTTGATCACACTGCACTGAGGATCTTAAAATGATCGTTCTTAACTCAAAGTATATATTCAGTAGAAATTCCACGCGTTCGAAGATACTTTTGTTAACCGTGCGATGGACTACCATCAACTGAAGCATTCCCGTATTTTTACGTTACGTAGAGTCTGCGCATTATTTGCAAACGCCGCGTAGAATTCCCGGCGTGGAAACAGGATATACACGAAAATCTACGAAGTCAAAGGAAATTCCACCAGGTTGTAATATATATTATGAACCGGAGGATTAGGAGTAGCTAGGGGGGAAGGAGGGTGGGGGGAAGGAGGAGGGAAGGAGGGAATGGGTTTTGACTTGAAGGAAACGGATGGATAATACACGAAGGGTTGAATACAAGCGGTTTTAAAGGACAAATTGACAATGAATTTAATATTACATTATTGTGGGAAAGTAGATCAGTAAACGTATCTTACATGCAGGCGGGGGAGGGGGGGGGGGGAAACATGCAATAATCAAAATTTTATATAAATCTTTTAGAACAAACGATTTTAAAGTTATTACGAAACTTTAAGGATTGGTTCTTGTATTTCCTGGGAACTATGCATAAAAACAGAAAATATTGCATATTTTTATAGTAATATATCCATGCATTATAAGTTCATATATATTCTAAAAAATTCTTGTTTTTGACCAATTTAGGACAAGTAAAGGTTTAAAGGAACTCCATGGAAGGAATATAAAATTGATGAAAAGTTGTTTAAAGGAGAAACTACAGAGAATATAAAATATTTGAAAAATAAGGTACGTGCAAATAGGGCCGGTTATTTATTAGGTTCGAAGCTAAGAAAAACTACGCAAATCGGCCAAACCTTTAGCTAATCTTTAGTCAGTAATATTTAATACTTGCTTAGGAACCCAGGTTACTCATTGTTAATCCCGCCGTTTACCCGCGCTTGGTCTTAAATTATGATTTAGCTATTTTTTCCTTTATAAGTCGACCCACTCAATTTAGAACTCGAAACCAAGCTAAGCTTATTCTCGTGGTTTTCCCGAGTTCCTAAATCAAATTTAAGGCAAATCGGTCAAGGGGTGCATGAGTTTATGATAGGACACACAAACAAACAGGATTGCTACTTTTATATACATAGAGATTTCTCTTTTTTACTTTTCGATTCAACTATATTTTTAACAGAACTGCACGTTCAGTTCGGTTCTTTTTAAGTTCCTCTTCGTTTCTTCCCAATTTTCTTCCCTTGCCCTGTCAACTTCTTTTCACCCTTGCTATTTTCTCAGAGGCGCATACAGGGCCGGAGGAGGGATGCGCTCAGCCCCCTCCCCTGGATCAGTGAAATATATGGTTTTACATGGGGGTTTAATATCAAGTCCCCTCCCCCTGGACAAATTCCTAGTACGCTTGATTTCCGTCCACGCAAATCTACCCATTTAGTAAAAGTAAATTGAACCTATATGAATTATAAAGTCTGACCGCGTCAACCTTGATGCACCAGCTAGTCCTGTCCATAGAGCTTGGCACAATTCAAACTTGGACCGGAAAGGTTGACCCGGTTCGGAAATTCAAATTTACTGCGGCTGCCCGTGCGTCTTGCGTTTCACATAGAATACTTTTTATTTTTTCATTCTCTTTCTTCGTTTCTTCGATTTCTCATATACAGGAAAATTTGCTTTACATTTTATGATATTTTGCAGAAAATGCCCGAAATTATAATCCGGGGACCGGACATGTGATGCGTATTATTAATGAGCGTATAGGTTACGCAGTTCATCAACTTATTAATCAATAAATCATCATTATCCCTATGATTAATAAAAATTAAGCCATTTATACTTTCAATACAAGACACCCAACATCTTAATATAATGGATGGAAACCTTTCTGCCCATTTTCATTGGTCAATCACAAAAAGTAAATATTGACTTGACTTTCAAATCTTCCCAATTTGATTTACTACCAATGATTTTTGAGTTCAAAATCGAGCAAAGATAATTCGATAATTAAGGTTAGACAATGTCGTCTGCACTTTAAAAATCTATTTTCTCTGTCTGTTTGTAACCGATAAACGTCAAAACGGTTGAATCTCACATGACCCCAGGGAAGTTTTATGAATGATCAGAATTAAAAAATTTGCCTCCAAAAGTTTTTATTTTCATACAATTTTGAAAATCCACAACGCCTTAATGAAATTAGGATCATTAACTAACGGCAACCTTAAAAAACGTAAAATACCATTAACGAAACGAACGTTCCAATCTTATCTTTAAAACTAACGACTACCTGAAACGGTTGGAACTAACCTCTGACGAAACGGCTAGAAAAAGTCTGAACATCTATACATTGTACAGCCCACTGCCCAGCCCTACTTTTAAAGTAAACCCCCAATAAAAATAATCAATTTTTACATAGAAAAACTAGGGTATCTCATTCATTCATGTAACACACAGGTTAAGGCAATTGTTTTAAATCAGAAATTTTACTTAATGAGCTGGTTAAAACTCTCTTAAAATTATGCCTTAGTCCCTTTGTATCTATCCAATTTATATCCTTCTTTTAAATAAAAAACTTACATCCTAGTTATTTATCTAAAACTTGTTTTGCCTCCAGTTTCTTGCAAAAAAAACTTTATGCAAAATTTAATTTAATTTTGCATTCCTAGGAATGTTGAATGGTAGGATTGTTTATCTTAATTTGAGAAGCCATTTTTCATCTTGTAGAAACCAGGTGTTTCAAAACTAAAGAGAATCCACAATGAACTACACTGATGTAACATACTTGCAACATTACTGGTATACAATTGTGTAGCATCTTCAGTTTTGATTTTAAGCAAAGCATACAAGAAAGCATATTTATCCATTTACATATTAAAAAAATAAAAACATTTTTTTCTCAATAGCTCTTAAATAAGAGGAGTTTGTATTGAAAACATAAAAAATGACAACACGCAATTTCTTTTAGTTTGACGTGAAGATAAACATATATAAGGTCTACGACATTTGGTTAAGTAGCTATAGGGATTAGAAAATCAGAGTTAGTGGCAAAGACTCAATTCCATTACTCAATGTCGATCATTTTTGTATGCTTACGGTTGGGGACAATACCTTCCTCCCCCGGCCCCCTCCCCCTCTTTCCATCAATTAAGTTAGAGACGGCAAGTTTTCAATCATTTTTTATTTTATGTTTCTTAATAGCACAACACTCAGAATATTTTACCAAAACAAGATAAAATAAACGTAGAAGAACGACTGGACAGTGTATAGTGTTGTACTCTTAAAATGTACATATATATATATATAGACAGTGTACAGTGATGTACTCTTAAAATTTAAATATATATATATATCTGTTGGTCAAAAAGTTTAAACGTAATTTATAGATTTAGCAAAATTAAAAACTCGATCTTTCGGACAATCTTTAAAAGAAAAATTGAAATCTCTTTAATATTTGCATCATGTGGTTTATAACATTTCAAACTATGATTTCTGTTATAAACCACATCATGTAGATATTAAAGAGAATATTTTTCTCTAAAAGATTGTCCGAAAGATCGAGTTTTTAATTTTGCTAAATCTATAAATTGACTTTTCGACAGATAGTCCCACGAATAGGAAAATAGATCGTAAGAATCTTTTCATTATAAATTTGTAAACCCTGTAATAATTATTTATCATTATTCATTTCGTTATTTTTTTAGGAAATAAAGAGTTTTCTGCATTATCGATTTTGATTCGTGGATTATCCGTTGTCTATCTGTTCATCGTCAGAATCTTGTTCCTTTGCGACAACAACTATACACTGTCCAGTCGTTCTTCTACGTTTATTTTATCTTGTTTTGGTAAAATATTCTGAGTGTTGTGCTATTAAGAAGCATAAAATAATGATCGACATTGAGTAAAGGAATTGAGTCTTTGCCACTAACTCTGATTTTCTAATCCCTATAGCTACGTAACCAAATGTCGTAGACCTTAGATATTTCAAACTATGATTTCTGTTATATCAAATAATCTAAGTTTGAAATATCAAAAGTTTACACAATCAGGTTGCAAAGATATAGGGATTAGAAAATTAGAGTTTGTTGCAAAAACTCAATTCCTTTGTTTAATTTTTTTTTTGGATTCTTTAAATATTACCGTGGTTAAGGTACTAAAAAGATAGTCGAAAGGTTGTATTTCTAAATATTTTTAAAAACTAACTAGATTTATCAGGGGTTCTAAGATAAAAAAGATTTGAATGATTTTTATTTCCATTAATCCCAATTTTTTTCTTGAAATCTCTTGCATAAATTATTTATAAACAGTGCTATTCTAAGTAAACCAGAATAGTATTAATTGATTGAAGACTTAGAAGTGTATTTATTAAAGACAAACTAATTTCAGCGATATTTTCATGTTTGACGAAAAAACGTGTTACAAGTGTTAAATTAACTCGATAAAAGCATCCGAACATGACTCTTTCAAATCTGTAGAATTATAAATCCATTTTTGTATAATATATATTTAAATTTGAATATATCTATATTTGTTGACGGGAATGTGAAGCATCGTCTAGCGTATTCAAATATTGAAAAGACTGTATTTCAATTGATGCTATTCATATTAAGCCATTCAAAATCCACTTATATTAATGAAATGCATTATTCAATATATCTTTTGAATTTTACACAATAATTATTCAGAAACGAATTTTAAACAAATAAAAAGAACGCGGAAATATATTTACAAGAATGATTTTAAAAACTGCTTTTTAAAATCTTCAAATAAAAATTAACGAAAGAATTAATAAGAGGTGTTATGCCCTCCAGTGGGAGTCAATTCGATCATAATTAAAATTTCTAAAGTTTTTGACAGAGAAAATTGCACAACAATTTTTGACAGGACCTGTAAGCTTTAAAACGATTCTGTGAAATGTTGGTTTTTTAATAAGTTTATCGTTTCAAACCTGTCTCTTCGATCCCAATAAGACCATAAAATACAACAACAAAATGTGGTCGAAGGATAAGGTTTAAAAACAAATTTGAGAATAATTATTTTTCATTACATAAAAACAAACAATGTAAATATTAAAGATTCTATCTTTATTCTTAATATTCATAGAATTTA